ACGCTCTTGTTGTATTAGAAAAAGTATCAATCAGATATGTCCGCACTTCGAAAGCATTCGAGATTCAGTAAAATTACCATCATCTTTATACCATAGTACAGTTTTATATATTTAAATACCAACAAGAGACTGTCTTGAGGAACGATTTTTCACAAAAATGATATTTTACTATTTCGAGAGGTCAACTTTCTGAGGGTCCCAGTCTCCCAGACCCTCGAAAACCTTCAACTTGCAAAATAGTTTTACGTTATAGTCCAAAATAGTACATAAACTAACAAACTTCACTTTAAAAATACGTACTATTTTGTGATATTTGCGGTTGCATTTCAAAGATGAAAATTACCTGTACTGTTTCGGGTCAAATATCCCATAAACATGTTATGGGTCCGTATGTAGGGCATCACACAAAATAGGGCCGTGGCCCTATTTTACATCAACTATTTTATAAAGAAACTATTTTTCGTTTATACATACGTACGGGCCCTATATAGAGTATTTACAGTTGTTTCAGTAGTCGTAGAGGGTCATGACTCATGACATCGTTCTCATTTTTTGGTTGTTTTTTAAAGAAAAGGGGAGTCCACACGATTTTTTTTACATAAATTTTTGTTTTTACTTTTTAGTTTTAGCCAAGAGACCTACGAACAGTTTTAGCATTATTTATTGTAAATATATATAGAAAGTAAAAGTAAAACCAGCAAGGGAGACCTTTTTTACATCTTAATACGATGGTTGCTTTTTTATTTTCGAACACATACTTGTTTTTGCTTTAAAAAAACCCCCCAATTGTAAATAATAGAAACAATAAAAAAGAACAATAAACACTTTGGCACTGTTGTCAGTTTGAACTTTGAAGTTTGACATTGAATTTTGACCTCTGGCTCTGACCTCTGGGGCTCTGACTCTGCGACCTGCGTGGCGCTGCCGCTGACAATTTGACAGGCTTTTATGTAGCCGCCAACTTGCCAAGGCGTGAGCCGTCAGGCCGTCAGCAACTCAGCACTCAGCACTCAGCAGACAGAGTCACAGAGACCACCAACTCACGAAGTTATCAACGGCAACCAGTCCTTAGGCCATCACGGCTGGACGTGGGATAGATCGAATACCATCTGAATATTTTTAGTTATCTACTCGACCACAGCATGTAAATGGGCTGGAACTTGGAACTTTGGAAGTTACTAAACTTATTAAAAAAAAATGGAATTTTTATAATCTGTATCTATCTCACTGTTCTGTACTGTCAGTTTGTTTGTTTTGTTTTAAAAAACAAAACAAAAAAATTAAATATTGGTATACATTCATTGACAATTGTACATAGTCAGCATGGTTCCATATCCATGACCCATGCCTCCAAGGCTCCAAGTCTTCCATCGGCCAATATGATCCATCCAGAAATAGTATTTATACTAGTATGTAATAATATTCAATATGTACACTGAAATAACTAAATAGAGCGAATAGCCGAATACTGAAATAACTAAATAGAGCGAATAGCCGAATACTCAATACAGTATGAAAATATAAAAATTCAATTCAATTCCACATAGCCTTCTCAAAGAACTAAAAAGTCGGAAGCATCAATCACAGTCTATACTCTATAAAACATAATTAATTAATTAAAAAGTTCAATATTTATGATGACTCGTCTACTGGCTCTTCTCACACGAACCGGTATTGTTATATTTTCAACTTTTTATGCTTTAATGTTCACTCTGATTTTCAGTGATTGTATTCCCCAATAAAAACTTAAAAAAAGCCTCTTGAAATTGCATAAAATGCTTTACTATTCATTGTTCTCTGATGAGTAAAAATTATATAGAAATCTGAATCTGTAAAATCGAACGCAATATGTACAAAAACAAAAATAAAACAAAATCATTATTATCACATTCTTGACTTTTGAGCAGAACAGTGAAACTCGAAATATTTTTGGGCTGTCGTGTACTACTTGTATGTAGGTCAGGGATAAACCGTCGCTGTGCACAGTCTGTCTTGTACTTGGCTTCAGGATGAGTTTGTCGGAATGTAAACAGAAGTGCGCACGGCCACAGGGTTGGACGACTCAGGCCTCGAATAAAATTCAGCCAGTACGCTGCCGCCTGCTTGTGTTGTTTTTTTATTGTTGCCAGTACCGGTAACAGAAGGAGACACTTACTTGTTTTCTTTAGAAACATAAACATATTTTATGATCAAAGTATAAAACTAAATATTTATAGCATTTGTGATGCTGTGTCAGCTATGATGTGTATCGGACTGCCAGGAAGCGTGAACGCAACCCTGACTTTCTCCCCGTCGAGACATTGAGACATTATTACAAGAATGGTCCGAGATATATGATGATCTCGAGAAATGCACATACGCTGATAAAAGCTAAAAGAAATCAAATACATTTTCAATAAACCGTATCATTTTCCATTTCCAACCATACCTCATGGGCCAGGGCTCAAAGGGTTCAGAAATACAGTATTTCTAGTAGTTTAGCAATAGAACAACAGTACCTCATAGGGCACATATAAAAATACTTCCGTTAAATGTCGCGGGGATCGATGACAAAATGGCAACTACTTCTGAAATCGAGAATTTGAAGGAGAGCACAAAGCTGTATACTCTTTGAATTTGTCTTCGTTGGAACACCTTCAGATCAATCTACAATATTCCAAAAGTCGGTGTCCGGCACTGTCCGCTTGAGATGTGGACATGTCGATTGCAAACGAAAAGTTTATCCCATAAATTTTATTGATTTTAGGTGTGTACTGGGTGGTATTTGCAGATAACCTACTGTCTCCAACTACGACGATTGTAGTTTTTTCTTTGTACGTCATCAATAAGTGTTCAAGAACTAAGCAAATGCTGTTGGCCACTTTTCATATATAGCAATTGTCTTTGGTCTCAGAAATATTGTTTTATATTTTAAAGGCGGTGGGAATAGAATAACCATCAAAATGTGGCGTGTGTGTAAATTCATTCGGCTGTAGGAATGAGATCCGATGAGGTGTTAAATCATGGGTAGTGGTATTTGAAATCTCATAATGCAACCATAGTATAGAATGCATACAAAGTGCGAGTAGAGATTTAAAACGGTAGAACAGACGAATATTTAAAATTGCAGATCAGGAAAAGAAAATTGCTGTACAAGCAGCTCCATCGTTGGGGATTGCGAAAAGTCTATCTATCAGTTTCTAAACAGTCGAATATATGAGAACAAATATTGAAATAAGTTTTGTAACATATTTCTCGTTCAGCTGTTCCTTGTATTCGCTCAAGCTGGTAACTTATTAAACAAGCCATTCAAGGTGAACCAAATTTACAAATTTTGGCGTATTTTATAATGGAATACATTGACAGTCTGTGCCTGAGGCAGTGATTGAGACAAAATCCATTTCAAATCCATCAGGACAACAACGTCGATGTCCGGCGAAGAATACGCTGTCGTCACATATACCATCCACTAGACATTGTATTGGGCCAGCATCTAGAATAACATCCGATAGGATAACATCCGATTCCATCTCCTGAGGTTGGTTGTCGGTCATTGATACATCATCAAACATACTCTCCTCCATAGTCCCAGTTTCGGCATCGCTCAATACGATATCTGACATGCCCATATCTCTCATGCAAACACATGGTGCGTTCTTTATCGCCGGGGTGATTGCTACTGATGCCTGTCTCCGTGGAGTATTACTGGAGGGTACGCATTCACATGTAACTTCTAAACTATCGATCTCTCCTAGTTCAAAGCCTGGAGGACAGCACACAGTCACCCCACTGAGTACCATGCCATTAGTAGGACAGAAAATATCACCTTGATGACATATGATGGCACCAACATCCGGAGTTACGGGTAATGGGATATCTGCATCAATTGGCCTTGGATCCATAGCTGACATAACCCCATCCGAGGGCAACGGCTGACCAAGTTCCATGTTTGGCGGCTGGGTGGCCACCAATGACGGCCTTTTACTGTAGCCAACTGGGCAAGTTTGATCTGCTAGACACGTGACTTCATCAGCTTGCTCCATAGAGCCAAATATACTTTCTGCTGTTCCGGTCTCCATAGCGCTTATTAGACCATCGTCACTCACTGCGACTCCAGTTTCCATAGCACTGACTATGTCAGAATCAAACACATCTGCAGATATCTCTGCCTGGCGAGGACTTGGATTCGCACATACTACCTGTGACAGCGCACATGTGGCTATAAAAAGCTTTGAAAAAAAGTACATGACGATAAGTATTACAACACAAACTTAAAGGAGCTGGTCGTGACGCGCGAGTATGGTATAAACTACATTCTATACTCAATTGAATGTTTGTTCAAAATCAAGAACGCTGTACGTCGCACGATTGTATATACTTATCGGTATTCCGAAGTGATAAACTGATTCAAAAAGCCTCAGTGGTTACTGGTTAGAATATTTTACACAACAATCCAATATAAAACTACAGCGAATGACAAGTTGACAAGGTCAAGAAGTGACAAGTGACAATAATCCAACACATCACTACAATATCTCACTGAGAGAGTCGGAGACGCAAGCAGCCGATAATTTACTTTTCAGTAAAATGGTTTTGAAAATTTACTGAAAAAATATGTTGGTTCTACGGAATTTAGTCCGTTGTGGTATATTTTTAATCTCTATCTCTCAGAGGGTCATGAGACATGAGTATAGCAAAAGGGGTTTGAGAGTAGCAAAATGGGGTTGAGAGTAGCAAAATGGGTTTGAACTAGGGTCTAGGACTCTCTAGGTCTCTAGTAGAGGACCCTACTCTCTAGCACCTAGTAGGTGTTCTTGAACTTCTTAGGTCTCTTGCCTCTTGGTCTACAGTGTAACAGAGGTATACAAATATAAATCTACTTTGGGTTTCAGAGAGTAAACAATTAGGCTGAAATCGAGCGATTTCATTGGAATATCAACTCACGTCTTTAATAGTGTCTTAAATAAATAAATACCAACGGACAAAAAGATTTGTAGTATTTATTTTTCAAATTTAAAGAAAAATGTGATATGTACGTATTTATAGTCGTATACTATTTATATGTATTTATTTAGCCACAGCCAACTGATGACAATTCAGCGTATCGAAATCTAAAAAAGCGTTTCAAGTTTCAACCTTTTGCTTTTATTTTATTTATTTAAAAACAAGTAGGTATGTATTTAGGTAAATACATATGAGACCGGTGACTGTTTTATTCGATTTTGAAACATTAAAAAAAAACAGAAATTATCGGCCACCACTCCACAATCCACATTCTGCCACAGTGCCACAGCCATAAATAGCCTTCAATTGAACACCACAGCCCACAGGAGTTTTTACTTGTTTTACAGCGCCTATTTTTAGAACTTAAGTTTATTCAATATTCACGATTGATCTATTTATACTGGACGAGATTGTACGTATCAGACGACATAAATATTTTTTAAATAGAACTGTTACTTTGTAAAAAAAATATATCGTGTGGATTCGGGTTTCGGGGAATCCTCATTCCAGTGACCATTGGCATTTATAAAATTCAAACTGGTATTTTTAAATCTGTCGTGAATCGTGACTCGTGACGGAGAATTATATACACAGTATAAAAGGAGGCATGCATCTCGATTCTTCATCAGTATCCTCGTTGCGTTTAACTATTACCTTGAGCCCACTCCTTTAAACTTCACTATGAGAGTTGTTTCGGAATTGATCTTAGTAGCTTGTGCTCTCTCCATGGCAGTGACTGCTAGCCCGGCCCGTCGTCAAATAATATCCGAGAGCATGATGATGAGTGAAGAGAGCGCTGGACTGACCGACGAAGTGAGTGCCGCTGTCGCCGAAGAAACTAGAGATTTGATGGCTGAGTCCGGTATTATTGAGGCAGAAGAAGAAATTGTCTGTTTACCAGACGATACTTGTCCCGTTGGTTACAGCAAAATATCCAATGCCGCGGATTTGCTATCTATTCCCCCTGTTGGACCTTTCGAAGAACAGCCCGACGAAGATGGTATACCACTACCAGCAAATCCATCTGCCCCAGATGCTATTGCGTGCCAACAGGGTAATATTTCATGCCCCAGTAGTATGTTAGAGATCGAAGGCTTATCAACGTGCTGTCCAACTGGTTTCTATATCGGTAACATAGAGGCAACCGGGCCAACCGTCTTTGGCCGGCGAAGTGTATCCCGTAGGAGCACTTGCGAGTGCCTTCCTGGTACACAGCCGGTTCGCAGACAGACACTTGACGATGTTGCACCTATATTTAACGACGTTGATGTTTTGTTCTCAGAGACCGCTGAAATGGCAACATCTTTACCTGTTGTCCCAGAAGATCTAAATACATGCATGTGCAAACGGGATAGGGAAGATGTTGATGAAAGTGCAGAGTCTGCGCCCACTGGAGAGATGTCTGGTGCTATAGAAAGTGGTGCTGAGGGTGGGATGATGCCCTGTTTGGTGAACGATGACTGCGCTGACAGTAACGCGATGGGTGACGAGATGGGTTGCTGTCCTGATGAGTTTGAAATGGTTGAGCCAATGTTTAGTGACGAAGAATGTATGTGTGCACCACTCGCCATTTAGCTTGATACACAAACATGCATTAAATAATTAGATCATGCTTTGGGTGTTCATTTGCTATTTAATCACATATTTTTCACATGCACGGGAGGCATATGACAAGGACGTTAGGATTGGGAATACTAAATTAGATTTGGCCGCGTCGCGTCGAAAAATCACAATCTCACCATTCGTCATTTCAACCAAAATTGATATGTATTTAGTAGAAAATTGGGTTCAGCGGGTTCGTATTGTTTTATGACTATATATATATATATACATATACTTATACTTATACATATACATATACATATATATATATTTATATATATGTATATATGTACACACATACACACATACACACACACATACATACGAA